ATTTTTAGTTCCCCAAATTTTTTTTTATTTAAAACAAAAATTCGGCCCATAGAGGGTTAAGTCATCTCTACTCACCCGAGTTAGAAATCAGCTGATCACCTCCCGGGCGCCATTTTTAAATTCCATATCTCCCACCTCTTTGATCACGCGTGATAACAGTGAAATTGTAAATTTCCATCGCGGCCGGTCGTAACTTTTTTTCCAAGGCATATTTCCGCGACCCAGGGCCCGGTGGCATCGATGGAACGTGTCCCATAGCCGAAATTTCGAGAGCCTTTGAGGCCCCGAAGTCCCAGAACGCCGTCTGCATAACAACGCGAACGATTCGCGCGTTTTGTCTTTATTTCGAGCCCGGCGGAAGGGGGAAGAGAAAAAGAGTAAAGAATCGGAGGATCATACGAGGCAGGGGGCCCCCCGGCTTAATTCGGCACTTGCACAATCGATTCGTGGGCCGTGGAAAAACGGGAGAGAATTAAAGGAGGACACGCCGTGAGCCGGGTATATTTTATTACCGGGCTGGAGTGAATATAATTTATGGCATTAATACGCCGCAGGAAGCGCGGCGAACTATGGGCGGCCTTAATGTCGCAAGGGTTGTCGTACAGTTAAGGGGGCGGCCAGGACCTACGAATTACCAGCTCGTTTATTATTCACGTGTGAGTTAAGCGCAAGCTTGCTTCCCCGATGCGCGTGCCGCTCTTAATTTTCACATGAAAAATTTAATTCCACGGCCACGCACGAGTGGGCTGCCAAATTGGAGTTCTTTGGGGCACCATAACGTAGTCAAGGTGGTAATAAGGCATCTGTCTCCCATTTTATCCTTTCCGGAGATTTTCAGAATTTTTCAACACTCCCTGTTGCATTCGTATTAGGTTTCCATTATTATTTCTTCCTGGACCGCCGCTCAAAGATGTTATCATTTTCTAGCATTTTATTTATACACTCTATACGCGTTATAAATTTATACAGACTCATTTAGGAGCTCAACGAGACGTCGAGTTTATCATTTTTATACAGCCTTGGGTGGTAACAGTGCATTTCATTTTTTTTTCTTTTTAACCGCACTTAAAAATTACTCCACCGTTGACTTAGAGTTCCCCTTTGAAATGATAACATCCAGAGGAGGGAATTCTCCCGAATTTTCTTTTTTCCGTGGAATTATAAAAGAGGACCTTTAAGGTGAAGTGAAACACGTCGAGGAACTTGATCGACGTCGATAAAGAAGATCTTTCTAAATGCCTACGTTGCCGACGTTCGTTTTTATATTGACAGCTGTGTCGAATTATATTGGATATTGCACCAAATGGCATACTACACCTGTCGTTTTCGTACAATATATATCAAGAAATCGAAGTAAAACTCCAGAAATCCTCCGGATTCGTGCTTTCTGGGGCCTTAATTGACTGCAGAGGGACCCACTGCGCCATCTGTGATTTCCAGGTCAATTAAATTTTCACTCCGAGACCTCGTATTACCATCGTTTTAGCATAGAAGCGCATACAACACTTTTTTTGCCCTTATCCTGTTCAAATGCGAATTTATCGATTACCAGAGTGTTCTAAATTCTCGTAAAATTGTCCTGACCCTTTCGATTCTCATATCAGAGCCTTCGATAATTGTATATTGATCGAAATATGAGAGCTCGACGCCATTTTGGTTCTTGTCTGAGCTGAGTTAAAAAATGTTGTCAAAAAATCCAAATTTTCAATGTGTCAGGACAATTCTTAGATGATCAGGAGTGACGTGTCAAAGTTTCGGACAGTTTGGTCTTTTACCCTTAAAAAAAAAGTGTATTAGAATCGACTGATTTGAAGGGGGTTTCACTTAACCTTAAGGGGATGCTTCAATTACGAGGAGGTCGCCGTGGAATTCCACGTGGTCGAGGAGAGCTGGGTGTGACTCGTGCTCAGATGTTATCGGGCGTTTGTTTAAATAATCGAATGCCCCGCCGTACGTCTATCTCCAAGCCGGTATCTGGCCAGCCAATATGTATGATAATTTTTACATGCCCACACCTTATAATAGTGCCGAGCTTATACGAGCGTCCTATCGGTCCGTCTTTTCCGACCCTTTCCCCTCGCTATGAATCGCGCCGATGCCACACACGACTTTCTCATTCATAAACACGATCAGGGATCGACCAACTAGCGTTTTATAATTAATCAGAACAAGGGAATTACGTAACGTGTCGAGAGATAGCAGCTTCCCATTCATGCGATTCAATTTCAAGAGCGCCACCGAAGAAGAGCCCCGTTTCTTCATTAAGGTGAAGTGAAACACGTCGAGGAACTTGATCAACGTCGATAAAGAAGATTTTTCTAAATGCCTACGTTGCCGACGTTGGTTTTTATATCGACAGCTGGGTCGAATTATATTGGGTATTGCACCAAATGGCATACTCCATCTGTCGTTTTCGTACAATAATTATAAAGAAATCGAAGTAAAACTCCAGAAATCCTCTGAATTCATGCCTTCTGGGGTCCTAATTGACTGCGGAGGGACCCCCTGCGCCATCTGTGATTTCCAGGCCAATTAAATTTTCACTCCGAGACCTCGTATTACCATCGTTTTAGCAAAGAAGCGCATACAACACTTTTTTTGCCTTTATCCCGTTCAAATGCGAGTTTATCGACTACCAGAGTGTTCTAAATTCCCGTAAAATTGTCCTGACCCTTTCGATTCTCATATCAGAGCCTTCGATAATTGTATATTGATCGAAATATGAGAGCTCGACGCCATTTTGGTTCTGGTCTGGACTGAGTTAAAAAATTTTTTTGAAAAATCCAAATTTTCAATGTGTCAGGACAATTCTTAGATGATCAGGAGTGATGTGTCAAGGTTTCGGACAGTTTGGTCTAATACCTTTAAAAGAAAGTGTTGTATTCGAATCGACTGATTTGAAGGATGTTTCACTTCACCTTAAATTGTGTAAACGAGTGAATGGCCTATTTAACCATTTATCTATATCTATCTATTTAACATTTTATACGGACAATCGCATTATCGACGTCTCCAAGGAATGTTAATAATCACGAAGAGACTCCTCTTTCTTGTGAGTTTCACTGTAGCATATATATTACGATACACTCCATCGCTAATACATACACGGCTGACAATGGATACACTTAAATACATTTGATTATTACGTGATATATTAACAATGACCGAGGAGACCGGAGGTCTCTCAATTAGCTATCCGGGGCGCGAATTACCCCTACCTGATTTTCAGGTTCTCAAGGAAACCCAAAGAAATTTGACCTCTAACGACATAACGCGGCAAAGAAAGAAGTAACGGCTAAGGTAAATCGAATAACAACGTCGCGATTAATCTAACGGACTGTGTAAACTGCATAAGATCTTCTCTTTCTCTCTTGGATGCAATTAAATGACGATAGGAAGATAAAATTATAGTCACGCGATTCCGGCTCATCTCGGTAAGGAAGAGATCTTTCGTATAAAGGTAAACCGACGCGAACCGCGAAATTCAAAATGGCGATCGGATAACGACGGCTCATTTCCGCGTGACAATAAAAAGTAATATCATAAACCGGCGGGTCGCAACAATAAGTTATGTCATTAATTTAGCCTTATCTAGGTGTATATGCACATAATACTATCGCATCACTTCCAGAAAGAAACAGACCGAGGGTTTTCCCGAGGACTAAGAGGTTATGAAACGTTAACAAAGTGATATAATACAACACGCATCGGCATTTTTCGCGAGCCCTTCTATTGTTTATTGTCGCTTTGTCCTATACATGCGGATTTTTCTCTATTTTCGCGGCCTATCTCCCTTTCTATTAACCCTTTCAGTTCCCTCTTTCTCTTTCACGCTGTCGCACGTGTCTAGTAAAGTGATTAGTAAAATAAATACTCTTAACAAGGTCTGTTAACGTACATTGAAAATAGGATATTGCGAGCAACGTGTGCGCCAGTCCGGAAATAGAAAATAAATGAAAAGCAGGGCGTAATTAATTAATATCAACCGTTAGTCGATACGCGTTTAGGCCGTGCGAAAGACTAGGCGACGGAAATAAAGTGATAGAAGAGAAATTAATTGCCATCTAGGACGCGGATAATTAAATTGTCAACTAGGCGATAGCAAAGGGACGCTCGAGAGAACTCTCTACCCTCGCATTGGCTAAAATTAACCATTAACCTTAACAATCTCTATGTACACATTCTTGGGCGGTAGTTTTGGTATACACATTCGACTTTCTAATCCACGAGATTTCCAGTGAATTCGGGAAAAGCACCTCTTCCCTATTTCTCGTGTTCTCTAAGTACATTCACAAAGCTGAGTACTTATTCGCGGTGGTCCTCCCTTTTTTTCAATATCCAAGAGCATTTTAAGGTGAAGTGAAACACGTCGAGGAACTTGATCAACGTCGATAAAGAACATTTTTCTAAATGCCTACGTTGCCGACGTTCGTTTTCATATTGACAGCTGGGTCGAATTATATTGTGTATTGTATCAAATGGCATATTCCACCTGTCGTATTCGTACAATAATTATAAAGGAATCGAAGTAAAACTCCAGAAATCCTCTGGATTAGTGCTTTCTGGGGCCCTAATTGACTGCGGAGGGACCCCCTGCGCCATCTGTGATTTCCAGGTCAATTAAATTTTCCCTCCGAGACCTCGTATTACCATCGTTTTAGCAAAGAAGCGCATACAACACTTTTTTTGCCATCTGTGATTTCCAGGTCAATTAAATTTTCACTCCGAGACCTCGTATTACCATCGTTTTAGCAAAGAAGCGCATACAACACTTTTTTTGCCTTTATCCCGTTGAAATGCGAGTTTATCGACTACCAGAGTGTTCTAAATTCTCGTAAAATTGTCTTGACCCTTTCGATTCTCATATCAGAGCCTTCGATAATTGTATATGGATCGAAATATGAGAGCTCAACGCCATTTTGGTTCTGGTCTGGACTGAGTTAAAAAATTTTGTTTGAAAAATCCAAATTTTTAGTGTCTCAGGACAATTCTTAGATGATCAGGAGTGACGTGTCAAAGTTTCGGACAGTTTGGTCTTTTACCCTTAAAAAAAAAGTGTTGTATTCGAATCGACTGATTTGAAAGATGTTTCACTTCACCTTAAAGACCCCCACCGCGACGTTCACATCTAGGACGATGTTTTGTCTGAAATTCGAGTCGCCTCTCAATACAGCGCAAATACTTTCAAAATTCAATTCCATTTGTCGACGCCGTTGGGAGTTTCACGGAGACGAAGCACCGTTTCGCGGACCCTTGACCGAAATGTCGCTCCTCGATAAGAATTCAAAGAAAATTAATTTCTTATGGGAGACTCGCTTGAAAATCGACATTGGCTTTCCCTGAGTTCTCCTAAATACGATCGGCCTGCCGAGCGTATAAACGGTCTAGAGATTTAGCTAATGGCGTTATCAATGTCCGTAAATCTTCCTCGCCGGGATAAGAGAACGTCGCGCCTTTGTACTCGATAACTAGACTTATATGGTAACGCGATCCTGCATTCGGTTCCAGACAATATAAGTGCATTTCCGGTTCTTGAAGAGGTGCCCCAAGAGGACGCAAGAACCGCCAGGAAGTTTCCGGATGGACCTTGAAGCTCCTCTATACCAGGACTGCGAGATAAGATCTAAATGTCGATTTTTTTTTAACAGGCTTCTGTTCATTCTTTATGGAGGTTCTCGCCATCTTGGGACTCGCAACGAGACGTGGAACCCTCTAGAATGTTATGCTCTCAACAGGACTCTGGGTGATGACAAATTATGACTATCAACCGGTGGAACGACGATAGGACGATGGTTTTGGTTGAGATCTTTGAGGTCAGCTCTTCAGACGTTGAAACGAGTCTCCGATCCGTCAGCTAGCATCAAAGTGACGGTCCGATTATTGATCCAGATCAGGCGAGCTAGACGCATAGGATTCAGACGAGCCACGTCGTTTATAGGAGCTGTGCTGTAGGATTTGACGCAACGGGTCTGCGAATTCCCCAGACCGAACATACCGCTGCTGGTTTGCTAGTGTCAAGAAGAATAAAATCGTCATACGGGAATATAGAATGCCGAGGATGGTACATAAAATGAGGTAGTATCAGAGTCTAGCCCTCACCTGCCAGAAGCATAGCTTATTTTCGGAGCAGGAATAGCTGACGAGGAACTTCCCTTCCGGTGAGAAGGCCAGAGCGGTCACTGGCGCTTGATGTGCGGTTACAGTTTGGCATTTGACATTACCACGTAACTCGTAAAGAGCCAATTGGCCTCCTCGACCTCCAACCGCTATCCTTCTCGTCGCTGGACAATGACTAACCTGGTTGGAGGGGTTGAAAATTATCTGAATAGTGCATCGCTTCATGATTTAAAATCTCGAGGTTGGATCATGACGTGTCGGTTTACCTGGTTGAACCTGCAGACAGCCGGGAAGACGTCGCCCAGAGGCTTGGCCTTCAAGTGTCCAGGATCCAGACAATGTAGGATAATGTCCATTACCTGGGCGATAATTTATCGTGATTTAAAAAGGTCGGAATGGTTAATTCTTGAGGAAACTTACCTCTACGAGGAGGTCGCTCATCTCGCTCTGCATCTTGTCGATCAGCTGTTCGACGATTCTCAGGATTTCCGGTTTTGCCCGGGCTAGCACGCTGGCGCCTAAATTGACGTTCAGGGTTTGGGCATTTTGTTGCAGGGTGTTGTACCTGGCGACTTCTCGAGCCATCGTGGTTATGAATGCGGCGGGTCTGGCGGTTGCGATCAGAGTTAAGGCATGCCGAGCCGTTCTGCAAGTATCCGCTTGCGGAGTCAAAGGCAGACCGTAAGTCATGCTTGGGACCAGCTTATCCGCGTCACAGCACATTTCCAGAAGACCTAGGAGGACCTAGAACGGAAGTAGGATTGTCTACTATTAACATCATCATTGAAACTTCTAAGCCTCATTGGTTCCTCTTTGGTACCTTGGAAACGTCGAGATAGGGTTCCCAGACGGTAAATCCACGACCGATCAGGTCGATGGCAGCTCGCCTCAAAGACGTGTGCATTGGTAATTTCGGAGAGTGCGGAGCATGGAGAAGATGAGTAAGAGCCATGCTAGTGTGTCTCGCAAGGTTATTGTTTCCTATCCCGAAACCCTCGACCACCGAGCTCTTCCTTCGCTGTTCGTTGTCTCTTTTCTGGCTCGCCGTGGTGACATCCTGGCCAAACTCTGCCCCGATTACCCCCAGCAAGACGACCGCCGTGGTCTGCTTCCTCTTCAGCTCGGCAACGCTTGACGGTTTCCTGGCTATACTCAATTCTGGAAGTAAGATATCTTTAAAATTCCAACCGGGGTTCTCTAACGTAATGCGTTTTAATGCAAATCTGAACCTTCCGCCAGCTCCTCTTCCTCGTCTTCCTCTTCAGGCTGGGGTTCCCCAGGAGGTACGGGACTTCCTGGGGGTGGACTCTGATTCTGCGGCTGCGGGGCAATCGGCTCTTGCGTGCTGTACATCGGCAAGTACTGGGACCAATTGTCGACCAGTGCTTTTCTACCTTTTGGACCCATCCTGCCCAACTCGGCTAGTAGCAAGGCCTGGGCTGCCTCTCGCACCTAAGTGTTAAATTCGATTATAGACTTCCTCCTGGTAGCAGAATGATTTAGAAACTTTAGACGAACCTCAAGGCACTGATGCTGCCACCTGCGTGCCATCATTTCCACCTGGGGTCTTTTGAATGTCTTAACTCCACCTAGTGCTGCGACCTTGTCCGGAAGAAGCACGCAGTGTAACGTTGCCAGGAGGGACCAACCCTGTTTAATCTGGGCTTGCTGGACCGTGTAGATTTCTTCGTTCTCCTCTTCAGCTTTGTTCCAATTAACTGCAGCTCTGTTGCCTGGTCTATGGAATTGTAAAAAAATGACACCACCTCCTGGTATCGAGACTTCGAAAGGGCATAACTAACTCACCTGTGCATCTTACGATTCCTTTCTTGCTCCGGAACAAAAGTGGCATTGTTCATTGACATTAATGTATTGGCCAGAGCCACCACTGCGAGTAGATGGTTGCTTGTCAGAGTGGTTGAGAGTTCCCAATGGGCTCTCGATGTGAAAGCTCTGGTAAGCCGGTCTCTGCGAACCAATTCTGCTGGTAGACGTTGTTCCAACTGGGTAGCTGGTTCAGCAAGAGGCTCCAACTGTGTCTGCCAAGTCGGAAACAGCAGAGACATGTAACCTGTAATTATAAATAATGTTAAATGTTTAGGGAATTGTCCAATGTTACAGTCAGCGTAGAAGTATTTCCTTACCTCCCTTCGACAGCACTCCGAAGGACACCGGTACCATGGGTCGCAGCAAGCCCAGCTTCCCTTCGCAAACTCTGTCCAAATCTGGATCCATTCCCCAAGCATGAAGAAGACTCAGAAGCAATTGAGCAACCTCCATCGTTGCATTAGGCTCGCTAAATGCACCATTTCTCTTCAGACTGTTTCTCGGAGCATCGTTATTGTTACAGTTGTCACCTGCGATGGACAAGAAATAATTCTTTATAAACCTGGACAGTAATTTCTTTCGATACATAGAGCTACTACAGAGGTGCAGCCGCGTGACGATAGCGTGCTACAAACTTAAGAGAACAAAAAAAAAAAGAAAGTAAGACCATCTGTAAGCCAACGTCTCCTGGAAAAAAAAAAGTCTCCTGTAGAATTACAGCATAATTCTTCGCGATCCGTTTGGATCGAGATCCGTCGATGAAAAAATGCAGAGACATTCTTTAATCTACAACAAATAAAAAATAATCACTGCTAGGAGCAAGCTTCCTCAAGGCGAGGCAAAAATAAATCTCCTCGGTGAACTGGGGACAGCCGACAAAAACTGACAATAGAAAATGAGGAGAGAACGGATAATAAGCGAAATTAGTAGATGTTATAAAACTTTATAACAAGAAATCCATGCTGCTCAGGACCGAGGAATCGATCCTAGGACGAGCTTGAAAACTTCGGCTAACCTTTGCCATCGAGAGTCGAAGGCTTGAGGCCAACGCTTTCCGCTTTGGCCTGCAACTTAGTTTGCACGTTTTCTGCGCCCTCCTTCATCTTAGCCAAAATACCTATAGAAAGATATTTCACCGTTTAGATAGAACCTTTGTTAACGCTAACTACTCTGATCGCCTAATCTAAAGGCGAATCTACAACGATAAAAATGTTAGGTTATGAATAAAAATGATAGCTCAGAAATGACGTTATTTACGTGGCCCACGCTTTCGAATGAGTGCGATGTGAGTTACTAGTCTTCAATTACGTTCTCTTTGCAGGGATCTCAAAATGAAGAGTGCAAAAATTCTCCGTATCGAAACACGTTCATATTTCATAAGTCGATCGACTAACTACCGATGACAGCGGAGAGGCGATAAATGGGGATATTCTCTACGAACAAATCTCTCATCGGGAAGTAGCAAAGGTACGTCGCTCGGAGAGCGAAAAAGCGAAGAGTCATTCTTAAATCGACGTGCAATCATTCACGATCGACAGCGTGAATCAGCGGTTCCTGAAGATCCCCATTAAAGCGATACTTGGGCCCACGATGTAATGCAACGGTAGGGAAACAACAAAAGGAAATTAACAAGAAAATGCTTCAAGATAAACAGGATGGTACGCAATAATGTGTCACGATACCGTGGCGGTCCTTTTCCTTCAGAATTCTCTCAACGTCGCCTGCTTTATCCTTGACACGACCGAAAAAGTCTATAAAAGCGACATCATCATACGATTACATTAAACCGAGATATAAATTCATGTACAGTAAAACGCCATTTTAAAATGCAATCGTCAAATTATTTTAATCTATGTATATCTAGATATACTCTGGTCTCACCTGCAATTTTCTTGTGAGCATCCAGACTGGCAGACTGAGTGAGAATTGTGACTTTTTGATATTCCGAGGCAGAGATTAAGCCTTGCGCTTCCAGTGAATTGGGAGACATGGACCCATACTCGTCGCTTAATAATTGCACTGTACCAAGATGTCATTGATGAATATTCAATTAATGTGAAAAACAAGAACCACTCCGAAGTTATATGGAAATGTGTGCGTACCTATAAGAGCCTCGATGTCGAAAAATAATATATGGCTCTCCGAATCCTTGGGGTTGCTTCTGAAGCCCTGAATCATGAGAGGTGTACCTTTGGCTTTGATTTGATTGCCATGCTCAACACCATGTCCGCCATGTAACTGTTGCAGCTGATGCAAGCCTCGCTGAGTAGCATGTCGAATCGCCGACAGGTTTCTGTGCCTCAAGCCTCTGCGAAGGATATAAAATTTTTAGAAGATTAAATCCTACAGTTCTAAGAGAAGAAACGTCTTCGATACCTGAAGAAGTGAACCGCAGGATTTGCAAGACCCAATTCACCGCCTGCTGCTGAACCACCACTGGCTGCTATGGTATTTTCGTCGCAAGCATAAAGCACCTCTTCCGCGATTATTCCTGGAAAATACGACACTTCAACCTACTCACTTTTTTCTTGGCTTTACAACAATTGTCAAATGAAGTTACCATGCAGGACTCGGTCAAGATGTCCCGTTTCCATTTGCCACACATAAACTGCGCCATCGGAGCACCCAACTATCATGAAGTCGTCTAGAGGTCTCCATTTAATTGTCACAACCGGAAACAAGTGTCTCGATGCGAGTACAACGCACTTCCTTTCCGCCAGGGACAACAACGTGACGCTGTGATCAGAAGCGACACCGCACACGCACTTTTGAATCCTATGCTGTAATATTTATCAACGGTAATTGTCAATTAATCATTCTAATAATATAATTTTCCATACCGAATCACTTCGAAAGGCACCAAAAAACTTACACTGCAATTATCCGGTGGTACCATTAATTGAGTTATTTCCCCAGCATGTACACAGAATCGATGGATCAAGGTTCCTGCGTACAAATCCCAAAGGCAGACTGCAAAGTCGACCGAACCAGAAACGAGATGTTGCTTCTCGTATCTTTGAGCTGCACCGTGAGGATACAGCAAGCAATTTACTCGACCCGAGTGACCTAATAGAACCTGATGTGGCGGCCAATCTGTAAATTATTTATAAACATTATTTTGTATCACTAATACGAAAATTGTGTAAAGGAGTTTTCTTTGTGGATATTGGTCCTACAAACCATCGTATTGCTGATGATTTCCATGGAGTAGCTGCAACATGACGGTCTGAGTAGCCGGCACAATTATGATGCTGCCATCTTCTCTGCCAACTACTAGACGACTTTGTTGGGGTAGGTAAATGCTTGCTGTCAGTTTAATCCCATAACCATCCCCCGAGTCTAACTGATCCAGGATCCCAACAGGTGGAGGTTTCATTACTTCCCAAGCTTCGTCCAAGCTGGTTTTCACTGTAGGTGGAAGAGCCGGAGGGATCGAACCATCGTTTTGAGTAATCTGTGCAAGCTGTTGGGATGTCACCTCCGGTACCGTCCAGAGAACAACAACACCCTCGCTGTCTCCTCTCAGCAAGTACTTCAAGGTCTTGTTTTGACGTTGCACCGTAACTAACCTCATCGCTGGAGGACATGACAGTGGCTGAAATTAAGGGAATTAGATGTACCATATATAATAACATTTCTAATGAATTATTTGTAGCGCAAACAGTACCTTGTCTCCCGGTTGTGTCAGGGTACAGTACAAGTACGGTTGATCGTATTCTGCAGACAGTGTATGGAAGTCCTTGTTGTCTGCGACGCTGCTACATGACGTAGAAGAAAAAAAAAAGGGAATTACTTCTCACCGATAATCACCGTCGAGAACATACAAGCTTTTTATTTTTTGCAGAGCACTGTGAGGAATATTAATTTCTTACACAGGTAGACCTTGCAATTTGGAAATCAATTTCCTAGTGTTTTGCAAAAATTAACACTCCGGCGAATTAATGCAGGATGCACGTAGAAAAGCCTACACTTGAAATGTTACAGATACGTACACTTTGTCTCTGTGCTTTCTGTGCATGGAGGAACATCAATAAGTTAACTTAATTAAAAAAGAAAAAAAAAACTGAAGGAGGAATTTACAATTTCAGTGATACTAAAGCACTCCTCTTTGCACTGGAGAATGTTGCTGACTTGCTTAAGACTAAGAATCTTAATGTTAGTAGCAACAGCATTATATTTGTCAAAAATTTGTACAAGAGAAAAACTTATCTGGAAGAAAAAAAGAAATATATCGATTCTTACGCACAATTATCAAAACTGTGTACATCGTTAGTATTGCGTGCAAGGGCAGCCGGAAGCAACCAGAACGTAAATACAAAAAAAAATGGCGTGCAGCGAGATGATGATGTGCGAAGTTCACTCCTTAAGACACATCGTTGACAAAGTCGTGAAAATTGCGAACAAACTGCGATATGAAACGGTAAAGTGAACCGCAATAGGAATTCGATTGGAATCATAAAAAAAGTAAATGAAAAATATAATTACGCCAGGAAACGTTCGCAATTTCAGTCGAGTGGAAGGTGTAAGAGAAATGAAAAGTCTGAAATCAAAGACATAGTAGATTCACAGAGAAAGAGAGAAAGAAAGAAAAAAGAGTACGTAAGTGGTAATGTCGGGTTACCTGCTGAGAGCCTTGCCCTTCAGCTTGCTAGAAGAGATCAGGTCCCCCGTAGTGTGGTAGAAGTTATGTTATGTGAAAAGACACATCACCGTAAAAAAGAACAGATATCAATGCGTTAATTGATGTATGGTTTGTGACACTCTGGAGTAAGAAGGGAGAGAAATTCGATATGTCGCTGATTAATGTAATTTGTGTTTCTCAAGGATGATATTGAATACATTGAACGCACAATTGCCATCCAGACACTGCTCGTATAAACTTATTAATTACGATCTTACAGCTGTTTAGTAATAGGAACTGTGCGTTCAAGATGGCATCGCAATTATTTGAAATAGGATCATTCGATTAGTCAGCATCGGACATCGATCGATGGGTATGCTTTCCGATCGAGGCATTCTGAAAAGAACCTGTCTTTGGCCATTGCTTTTAATTAATGTACTTAATGCTTGGTGGCCAAAGACACACGGTGGATGTATCCATGAGAATAAATTGAAATGAGTATAAAAACAAAATCTGTGCAATTGCCAGCGAGTGCTTCTAACTAGCAGTCATTAATCCCAAATTAAATGCTCTAACCAAGTTAGGAATCATGGGACAATGTTTCCCCAAAAGTTATGCATTGATTAGTAAATTAATCTCATCGTTCACGCAATGCATTTAGGAACGTTAACTTCAGCTGCGATCATCGACTATTATTGAGTTAAATCTGTCAAGAATCAAGTTAGTAAAAAGAGATTAATTTCACTCAAAATCCTCTGGTTAATATCGGCCATTCAGGCCAGCGTGTACAACATGGCAATTCTTCAGATAATCCGAAAAATATTATTTTTGCCCCGAAGTCCTGAATGTTAATCAGCTATGATTAAAATGCGGTCAAAAAGTATCGTGGTACTCTTTCGGAAAATTTACGGAATCGCCACGTGTCCAGAGCTACCTGTCAAGATGTACCAGAACCCTAGAAAGAATAAAACACATAAACAAATCAATAATCAATCCCCTAATAATGGAATAGCGCTGATTCGTTGAGGAATCCGTGGTTTGCAAAACGTTAAAAAGAAAATATATCTTTCAAGTAGAATAAAGTTTCTGACCGGACAACGTACTTGGCTGGTAATTTATAGAGGTACCCATGGCCTTCGTCACTCCACAGAATAACTCTATCGGCAGCTAGAAAATCACCAGCCATCCACCGTTCCCCTCTAGGAGCAGTTACGGAGCACAGGACTGAAAAGTCTCCGGCATCAAAAATCTGCAATGAAATATTACATCGATGCTGTGTCACTGAATGAAAATTTTATTACATCAAGGACTAGATATGAGATTTGACATATTATTTTAATCATAGAAAAAATAGAGAACAAAGGAATACCAACCTGCCAATATTTAGAACAGACGATGAGTACTGTTCGTTGATTGTAAGGGCAGCAAGTCATGGCCAGTGCGTTGAGACACCTGATCTGCTTACTTTCGTGCTCGTACAGTGGTTCGCTGTTACGGTTCTCATGTCCCAACAATGTCCACACCTTGACGGTCCCCGTAGTAGTCAGAGCCAACACCACATCGTCTTTAAATTGAGCGAATTAGTTGTTGTTGGCGAACCATTTGCGGCTGCAGTGGAAGCAACGCGCAACAAGGAAAGCAACACAGATTTAATCTCAAAATTGACACTGACAAACGGCGAGATAATAGAAAAATTCCAAAGACATTATACTAAACATTTGTTATTTTAACTTTTTAAATATTACTTCGAAATATGTAAATTCTAAAAGGTTTAAAGTGAAAAAATGGAATGACGTTACAGGACTAACTATGATTTTTAATTTTGCACTTCATTGACCAGGGACTTTGCAGCTTTCGTAGTACCTTACAAAATTCATGCACATTCAGAAAGGTATTTTTCTTTTTTTTCACCAGTCCAACTGGAAGTGACATCGTTGTTAATAAGCTCAAGATAATTTTCAAGCTTGCATCACATGCTCATGCTTGGTCCTTAGGATTAACACCGAGAGGCTATTGTTAAAGAATGATTTACATTCATGTGTATATTTAAATGCATGCAAAGAATACATGTCTTTCGGCATTAATTATAGCACCATTAAGCTTCAAGTGAGTAGAGTAAATTATAGTCTCAGTTAGGAGGTCCTTAATTTATCTGCATGTAATCCATGTGTAACGAGAGTGAGAACATGTTGCATAATCGATGCTTCAAGGATTCTTTTTTACATTCATTATATTCTTTTTAATAAATTTACATTTCTTTTTCTTTAAATACATTTAAAACGAAGCAAAACATTATAATCCACTTTGACATAATGTTTTAATAGGAGATAATTATTAATAAAAAAAAAGCTTTGTCTCTAAAAAATATTTCTAAGGACTAAATTCATATGCACATGCTTCATCGTGTGAGGTGATCATTGTGAGCATTCATTGTGCTTTAAGTTATTGAACGTAACATAATGTTTCTTCATACTTACATATAATTGATAGTGTACTGCTGAGTGTATTGTGTGAACGATTAATGGAGTAGCGGAGGAAGTTTAGTGTGTTACTTGATAGAGGAAAGATGTACAGATAATAGAACGTCAAATTAAAAGTAGCATCGGATGAAATAGTCAGGATAATGGATATCGGAGGATTGGTATTTTTTTTCCAGAGAGAATAGAAAGGTGAGAAAGTAAAAGAAATAAATCCAGAATATAAAGATTCTAGTTTTTGCTACCAGCACGCTTAGTACCAGCTTAATCCATTTTCATAAACATGCTGCAACAATGTAATTTGGATTAAAATATATTTTCGTCTTAAGCACTTGTTCCAATTTTTATGAAAGTTCACTGTTATCGAGGTTCCAAAAGAAAATGTTAGATAATTCAAGGTACATATTTACATCATCGGTATTAAATATATCAATGTTTCCCAAAGCGAAAAGTTCCTCATGGTCAACAATCTCAGATGTTAATGACTTCAATGAAGACCCGAATCATTCAGAAATAGAAATAAGGAAGTCAATATATAAATAACTGAACCGAAAAGAAGAATCATTTCAAAATAAAAAGTAGAGGCTTGGTAGAGATAATGAATTAAAGATAGGAAGCGTACGTGTGATGGATTTGTAACTAACTTGTGTGCACGTAGAACCGACCTTTCCGTTTGGCCGGCCGTAACACGTGCAGTGCGCTGATCCAGTCTGGATTAACACGAGAGCTGAGGGTAAACAATACTTCCAAACTGAAGGGGTCCATCACCAGTACTTCTGGATAATACCTAAAGTTTCCAAGAGACAAAATTATATATTAATGTTAATACAATATTTTTTATCTGTATTTTTCAGAAAAGTGGGATAAAACCATACCCGGAACAAAATAGTCTGACATCCTCTCCGCCGGCAGAGACGTATGGTAACATTTGTGTGTGAATGTTATTAAGTTTCACAGCTTCTCGGCACTTTCCATCAACTAAGTCCCAAGTGCACATTTCGCCGCTCTCGCTGCTGCTGACGATATAATTTTGTTCCATGATGACGCTAGCCCGGCTAAGGCACATAACGGGTGCAGTATGCCCAATAAGCAAACATCTTGGCGTCATCTGAATCAAAATGAGATAAATAAATTTCTTGTAGCAAAATCACAGCATTGCCTAAACTGTCGTTACCTTTAAAGTTTCCGGATCGACTTGCCATAGACAAATCTGACCGTCGTAGCATCCCGTCACTAAGGTCTTCTGATCACGAGATAGGTAGATGCAGGATATACAATGGGTCGGAGCGATCCTACCCCACAGTACGATCGGTACTACTAAACTGGTTCCTGCCGTCATTGTTGGGTAACCTGACAAAATATTTTGATAACACCATTTTGCTCATAACCAATTCTGATATTCATATACCTAATGCATATATTTAACCAGCCAAAGGAAGACAATCTGTCGAAAACGTACCCAAACAGGTTTCTTACTCCGAAAGGGAGGTTGAAGTACGTCAATTACTTAATAAAAGAAAAATTAATCAACGATAAACGTCCACTGTCACATGACAGACCAGTACGTACGAGGATGGAATTTAAAACGACGAACGCTAAATCGGGCTTGACCTCGCCTTCAAAAATTCAGAGTTTCTCGAAACGGGACATTTACATGCCAAGGAGAATCAAAAGCATAACAAAAATTGATGGAAATCAATTTAGTAAAAGCGTCTGCTACCCAGCATTCGCGAGATGTCACTGACAGTCAGGGATACGGATTGTGATCTGTCTGCTTTTTGTCAACTTTTGCACATTTATCAGTATTGAAAATGAACGAGGACGCACCGACTGACCTAAAGCAGACGATGGACAGCAACGGCGATCGTTACGGTTGCTGGAACTGGCCAAATGTGCCGAAAAACAGGGCGCTTTACTACACTTCCATACGTTCCGCCATCTTGGATCAGAGTCGATCGCAATACGCGATTTTGTGGAAGCCCTCTAGAATTACTATCGGCCTAGTTCACACCGAACCGCAGGACGGCGCTACAGCGTCGCAAACAATTTTTTTTCATAATTCTGCAATGGTGGCAACCGCAAGTTGAAAATTGTACGTAATCGCGATGATTTACCCGTCGTGTAGCTTGGCGATGAAGCACCTGAATTCGCAGATAAAACTTAAGCCTGTTTAAGGACATCTCGTCGATGCAGTGATTCTGTAAGTGCGGTATCATTATTATGATTTTCGTTGGCGACCCAACCTCATTCCACGTAAACACGTTCTTCCGACAACCGTGACAGGTTACCGTTAATCCTTGATCAATTCGGGTCTCTTCACAGAATTCCCGCCTGAAAAAAACAACGCGTGAGCCTCCAACAAATCCAAGAACTGTCAAGATGTTCAAGAAGTTTAAAGACAAGCTCGCCGAGGAGATGAAACAATCGCCTGCACGACTGCAGGCGAGCATGCAGCAATTGGCGCAGGTTTGACATTTCCACGTTTAATCTCGATTTAACGTGACCGGAATATCGATTTCAAGCGGGCGTCTAGCGGTTAACTTCAAGAATTGAGAAGTCATTGGTCCTTTTTGAGTGAGGCTTATCAGACTAATTTGATATTTTGCTTCCTAATCAGGCAGTGGTATCTCCGACGTCCAACAGTTCGATCCAAGATCTGTCGGCTTCCAATGAACATTTTAGCTTGACCGAAGACGGCGACGGTGAGTGGATCTCTGTGACAAGCTACTTGCAAATAACCTTATCATCTAATAAATATAAGAACTTTACATGTTAGTTGTTATTGCTTAAATTATAATGTACTTTACAAAATGTATTACAGAGACGCCAAAGAACAGTCCAGCAAAGCACGGGTTTCAGAGCATCGATCTAAACTCACCTGCGACAAACTCCATGGGTTTGTCCCGTCGATCATCAGTGAGCAGTATCACTAGTGACGCTTCTTCGCTCTTCCCGATTTATGAGAGTCCTGGGAATATGTATCATTTACAAGTAAGTCTCTTCTAGAAACAACCTTGTGGTATTTGTGTGACTTGTGATCTTTAACTTTCATCTTTTTATCATAGTCTGATATCGAACAGTCGGCCAGTGAAGTTGACGATGGCGCAAGCTTACAATTCGATCGTGTCAGTAAGGACCAACTCTACTCGTCATACCGAAAGATGCAGACAAAATATCATAAGTATCGAGGCCGGTACACCGACCTGGCAAATCATTATCGAGAGATGGAAAGAGTTAAAGGAAAGCTGGAGTCATTACTGGTCGAGACTCAGGATAAAGCTCTGAAACGTATTAGTGATCTCAAGGAACAGTGTCAATTGGAACAACAAGCAAAAGCTCATCTTGAAGGTGTCCTGAGAAATGACATTGAAGAGAAGGACCATCTAATAAATGCATTAAATACTAAAGTAAGTGTAGAAGGAAGCAACTAAATTATCTGACAATTTATTGGACTTCTTACATAAAACTAAGATTAAGGGAGTATTCATTTTTTTTACTAGGTGAAGCTCCTTCAAACTAGTGAAACAATAGTCGACGGTGTATCTACCTCTGATGTGATGGATCAAAGCAACAAACAAAATGTCCAGATCCCAGAATCAAGTACAGACGAGTCACAGCAACAGTCTCAAGAAAATTCTATTCTGCTGACTGAAAACGCTCAGCTCAGAGAGAGACTGTCTAAACTCGAAGGCATTCTACCTCGGTACAAGGATTCTTTGAGGAATGGCAAGGAGAAGATACGAGAGTTAACTCAGGAGAGAAACCTCCTAGAACGCGATTTCGACGCGCTTAAAACATCCAACAATGAACGGATCGAGTCTCTGGAAGAGGAGTTGTTTGCCTCGAAGAGAGATGTAATTAGCTTGGAGCAACAAATTCAGGTTCTGAAGAAACGCGAGGAGGAATCAGTGCTTTCACTTGCGGAGAATAAACATGCCATTCACCGAGAGCTGGAAGTTAAAGAAGAACAAATAAAGCAGCTTCGCCTGGAGCTGAAACAAGCCATCGAATCTAGGGAACGCCTTAGCGAAGCACAAAGCTTGGACTCAGATAAGAAGGACATCATCCAGGATTTGTCAAAAGGTAAGTCAGAGGCGTTGAAACTCATGCAGCGAGATATGCAGCAGAAGCTCATTGACCTGGAGGAGAAAATGGGTTTAAAGTATCACCAGGAGGTGGAAAGGAATAAAGAGCTTATTGTGAAGCTCGAGAAACTTGAAAAGGAAAATCTACCCGAAAGACCCTCAAAAGAAGACGAACAAACGGAACTGCTGAAGGAAATGCTCAAGACAAAAGAAGAAGAAGTCTCAAAATTACAGCTGGAACTGCAAGATCTGGAGAAATGTTTGGATGAGTTCAAAGAGGAGAATGAAAATTTGAAAAAGAGATTGACCTGTACACAGGATAAAGAAAATTCAAGGTAAAATCCCCTGCGCTGTACCTCAGCATAATTGTTTATTATTTCATGGTTATTTAGTTGTGTAATTTAATATTCATATTTTTTTGTTTGTCTACAGCGTAACAGCTGATTCTTCGAATGTAGAACAGTCCACATTGGAGAGGATGACATCCATCGAGGAGACCAGGAAAGTTAGGTTACTCTTGAATGGACCAGTCTGTGAGGAAAAGCTACGTATGTTGCAGAAGGACTGTGAAAATTTAAAACAAATTGTTGTTCAGTGGATATCGGAAGGAAATGACTCGATGATCTGTCTCGGTCAAGGATTCCTCGACATGGAAAACATTTCTAAGTGTTTGAAGGACGAGAACAAACGTCTTCGAGAAGACAGAGAAGTGTTGACTGCTCGGATAGGAGAGATTGGACTGGAGAAGGAACAATTTGAGATAAAACTGAATACATCATTGAAAACAATATTAACTTTGGAGGAAGAACTTCGAGACCAACAAAAGAAATTGCAGTGCTTTGATGAGATAAACTTGAAGAATAATAAATTCGTCGCTGAGATAGATGCTCTTAATCATCGGTTGTCAGTTAGCAAGGAGGAAAATGAAGAACTTGTGAAGAAAACCGTTCTCCTTGAGAAATATTTAGAGAATATGTCGAGTGAATTAGGACAATTAAAGGAGGTGAAAGATCAACAGGATGGAGAAATTAAAATAATGGTTAACAGGAATAAAGAATTAACGGAGAATTTAAAGCTTTCGCAGCAAACAACAGTAGAACTGGAAGACCTCAGACAACGGTACGAATCGATGCTCGACGAAGTGGCAGCAGTTTCTATGGAAAATAAGGAATTAAAGGAGAGAAGCAACGAGCTGGCTATGAAGCTCTCCGAGTCAGAAAATACGCTAAAGTTAGTCCGGGAGTTCGAGGAAAAAGTGGAGACCCTTGAAGGAGACAAAACTTCGTTGCTAAGTGAAATGGAAAATTTGAAAACAGAAAATAAAGGACTGAAAGAGAAGAGCAACGAGTTGTCGAAGAAATTCTCAGAGACCGAGAGCCTACTGAAAAGCGTCGAGGAGTTGCAGCAGCAACTTAGTATTTTGAAGTTAGAAAATCAGAAATTAAAGGACGAAACCCAAGAGTTATCGATAAATTTGGAGCAATCTCGAAAGGAACGTGAAGAACTCTCCAATGTGGTGCAACAGCTGCAATCTCAATGTGACGAATACGTGAAAGAGTCTGCTCTTAGTGGTGCGAAGATTTCTGAGCTACAGGAGAGGAACCAGGAGTTGCGAGATTTGGAAAACAGTTTGAGGAAATTGATTGATTCCAACGAATCGACAATCCAGTTCGAAATGAAGAATCTTAAAGAAGAAAATTTCAGACTGAAGACGGAGTATTCGGAGGAGACTTCTCAATTACAAAACCAGCTCGATACAGCTCTCTCTGAGAATATCGAGTTAAAAGAAAAAATTTCCTTATTGGAAAAGATGAAAGAAGAGAACAGTGCTTTGATAAAGGAAATGTCCAAGTCGAAAGTGGAGCACTCAGAATTGAAGGCACAGCTTGATACAGTTTCTTCTGAAAATGTCACTTTAATGGGGAGGATCTCATCTTTGGAAGAGATGCATCAGAAATTTTTGAATCAGAAGCAGGAGCTGAAGGCTGAAAGTAATCTCCTTGTGTCCGAAAATAAAAGTCTTCGAGATCAGATCGAAGGATTGAAAACTAAAATCACAGAACGTAATTCACGACTTCAGGCCATGAAAGAAATGGAAGAGGACCTGCAGATAAAACTTACGAAGCTACGGGCAGAAAGAGATGGTATAAAGGAAATGCTGGACTCTTTGAAGTGTGAGAATGATCAGCTGCGCACTCAGGAAAACTCTTTAAGAGAAACAATGTGCTTGGCCGAGTCAAAAAAAGAAAACCTCCAAAGTGAAATAGAAAAATTAGGCAAAGAACATTTGGAAGTAAAATCGCGATTGACGGCCAGAGTGGATGATGTTCTCACTGAGAATGCTGCTTTACAAGAACGAATTTTTTCCTTGGAAAAGGTAACGATCCATTAACTATAATATTGAAAACGGTATATTTTTAAATATTTCTCACTTTCTATATTTTTCAATCAGGAACTGCAAGAGGTGAACGAGACTTTAAAAGACAAAATACTTAATGCGAAAGAAGAACATTCAGAGGAAAGTCTACGATTAAAGGCTCAACTTGATAAGGTTCTCTCGGATAAGGCTATTCTAGATGAAAGGATTAATTCCTTTGAGAAGGTACATATATACACATAATGTCATGTATCACAGCATGTTTTTTCTATTTTGATTCATGTATCACAGATAAATCAAGAATTACGCGAAAAGGAAGAAAGTGCGAGGGAAGCTGCGTGCAGTGAGCTTAGAAATGAAATTTCGAGGTTAGAAACTGAACGCTTAGCGAAGGAATCGCATTCAAAGACTCAGATCAACGAAACGCTGTCTGAAAATATTGATTTAAAGGAGAGAATTGCATCGTTGGAAAAGGCGAACCAAGAATTGGGAGACCAGAGGAGGATCTTGGAGGAATCGTTGCAATCGAAAGAGTCTAATATCGGGTTAGAAAATCAAAGTCTTAGGGATGAAATGGCGAAGATGAGCGCAGAATATTCTGAGCGCGGTTCACGATTAGAGGCTCAACTGGATGAAGCCCTTCTTACTTTTCAAGCGAGAGAAGCTCAGATGAGAAGCCTCAACGATGAACTCAGGGCTAAGGCAGAGAACCTCGAACAAACTCTGAAGACCAACGAAGACGAACAAAGCATGCGTCTCAAGCAACTTGTCAAAGAGTTTCAAGCTCAACTTCACGATAAAGATGAAGCGATCCAAGCAGCGCTCGAGAAAAGATTCGGTATGTTTCTTCGACAAATTTTTCTAAAATATTCTTGTATTTTGCTGATTAAAAAAATATATATATGTTCATTAGGATTATTTGTTTTTAATTTGTTTTTGAACTTATTTTTGGTATATCTAGGTTTAAGCAACATCAGTCTATACAGGTTTCCAAGATTTCATGTGATGTTATTTCAGATCGGCAGCAGAATTATGAGACAGATCTTATTCAGCAGTACAAAGAACAACTGAAAGACTTCCAGGTCGAACTGACGGAAAAGTCAGAACTAATTGAAGGTCTTATCCTGGAGAAGAAAGAACTCTCTGCTCAAAGACAGAGCGAAATAGAAAAATTGTCGGAGACCATAGCATCGATTAAAAAGGAGCATGCAAACGAGCTACGGGATCTCGATAGAAAGTGGAAAACGATTTTAAAGCAGAAGACAGAACAGCTTGAGGTAAAACATGGAGAAGAAATCAATGAATTAACCAAAGAATGGCACAACGAAAGAAGGGTACGAGGATTTGTTTGCGCATCCACTATTTGATGCTTTGTCGTGAATATTCTCAATCATTTTTCCATAAATTTGATTAATTTCTTAAATTATCTAGGTTCTATGTTTTATTTAATTGCTTCCATTAATTTTTATGTTTCTAGAGCGATGCCAAAAATTCTCAGTCATCGGTTGAGGTAAATTCATTTGCCTTTAGATTTATTTTGTCTCATTTATCCATATTTTCTGTCTATATTTCTTTACACTTCATTGTTATTCATAATTTCTATTCATTAATTTTGAATATGCAATAGAGAGATCTTTGTAGCAAATAGATATTTTTCTATATAAACCAGGTTGTGATTTTTATTTGTAATCTGTAAAATTCTAGGAGCTTGAGAGTACCTCTCGAGTGGCTATGGCTGCGGTTCAGTCTAATACTGGTTCGCTGCACAGTCTTCAACAGACATTAGTCTCACAGCGCAGAGAACTTGCAGAGCTTAGAAAGCTTGTTAAGCTGAGACACGATACTTTAGAAGACTCAACAGAAATCGAGTATCTAAGGAATATACTTTTCGAATACATGATGGGCAGGGAGACGATGGTGCTGGCTAGAGTTATCTCAGCGGTAGTTAAGTTCGATCAAGAACAAACTGCGAGAATTCTTAAAAGGGAGGAAGACAAATTAACATTGGTAAGTTTACGGTTTATACTTCAAATAGAATTTTTCTAAAATGATGTGATCGATCGGTGTGGCAATGTATGAAATCATTGCAAACTCTTAATTTTAGTTGGGATCACTGGGACTAACGTAGCAAGTGAATCCGTGCATTTAGGATCACTTCAAGAACGGCTGCAAGATTGCCGTAGTTATTAATATTCATACTGAATCTGTTGAAAGAAAAAAGGTGACATCGGGTCATCCAGCTACTGGAATAGATTCAAAATGGAGCATCGGATAGTATTTACGTCGAAGCTGGAGCAAATGGTTTATGTTAATTGGTGCTTCACTGAACGATGATCTGGTAGCATTAATGTTGCTAAGTCGAATGGTCGCTTTTAGTCAAATCTTGTCTGTAAGGCCTGCCCAATCATTCGATTCGAATACAAACTTATGGGAGTTCCTTCAGTTAAGAGGGTAACATTTGTAAATAACGCTGTAATTAAATAACTAAGCGAGTTCATATAAATAATGAACAAAAATTCAACGTTGTACAGTTTATTGTCTTTTCTGGAGTCTAGTACAGGGTTGCATCTTTTTAAGAAGTTGGAAAGTAACTATTTGAACAAACTTATGTATATTTATAGCTCACACTTAGTTATAGAGAAAAGCGATTAACAAAGAATTTCATCCTTTATGACAATTTAAACAAGTCAATACATATAGCACTAGTCTATGGGTTCTTTTTTATCTACATCATTTCTTGTTCTTGCACAAGTTTGTGAAACTTTGTTTCAAAATATTCTTTCCTCTGCCTTGTTGACAGTCTGAAGTTGAAGGGACTTAATTTCCATTGCATCGGAAGAGAATCGGTTGCCTTCTCATCTTCATAACCTAAGAACTGCCATGCTGCTTTATACCTTGTTATCATCTTATCACAGTACTCAAGACCGCCCTCGACATATTCCTGGCCGAGATCTGAGATTTGAGCATCATGCACTTGATCATAATAAGAACTTAACAAATCTCTTTGTAAATGCCACAAAGATGCGACCATTACTCCAAGCATGCCATGAGCGGTAAACCTGGCCAAGACAGGTTGATGCAGAAGTTTGAAACTACGATTGAGATATCTACATGCTGAATACATCATAATGACGAAGCCTGCAGTGAACGATGGATTGATAACTCCCTCCATGGTTTGAGACTGTAGTATTTCTTTCGCAAAAGCAAATTTTTGTGCCGATTCTGACAGTATTAGAGATTCTAGAAATGGTTTTGCCATTGGATGGTTTATATCTAGTACTTCAGAATTTACAGAAACACGATTTGTATTTATTTCTCCTATTCTTTTATAGGTGAAATTGATAGGTATACCAATGTAAGAACCGAATTTAAAAAACGTATAACCAATGTGATATATGTCAAAGCCAACTGTCATAAATGGATGCAATTGCTCACGGTATGCCTCAAAGACTTTTAAGTCATCTTGCACTTGAGTAAACATCAGTTGTAACTTTTCAGGAACGGGTACCTCTTTATCATATCTGCAATTTATATAGAAATTAATCGATTAAATAGTAATATTCACATATAACGTTAAATGACAATTATTAACTTATGGAGCTGAACAAATTTTTTCCAAGGTGTGGCCAAGAATGTTTGTGGCAAATATTCAATGCAAAATGCTGCTATCGTTGCTGCTATGTTCCATTTCATTGCAGTGACTGGCTCCACCAGTTTCGTATTGACTGGTAAGCTTCCACCAATTTTAGGTGAAATATTGAGGCGGCTCATTTTAGTCTACAGCAAATCAAAACTCAAGTATAATCATTTGCCAATATCTCACAAGACTATAACCATTCTACACCATTTAACTGTAAGATTTGATAAAACCGGTAACACTTAATCTGCCTTGATCCAAAATATCTCACCAAACGAAATTACCTGCACAGAGTTTAAATCCTGAGAATTCAAGATTGTTCAGTAAATGAATGGTATAAGCTTGTTCGTTTCATAAAAATAAAAAAGTCTTCAATTTTAATAAATTGAAAACGATTCACAAATTTAAAAGGTCCACTATCTGTACTTGAATGAAATAGGTTATGTTAGGTAAATTTCGAGGTTCGGGGTTACGTCCAGTTACGTCGCTCCGGTCGCGCGCTCGGTCTTGTATAGGTTCAACAGAGATGAGTTGGGAGATTGCTCACGGCAGTCGCTACAGACGTCAAAATATTAAGGGACTGATTGGGTGACGCGTTATTCGAGGCCGAGGTTCCTATATTTACATCGTGGATTTCTGTACTTAGTTCAAGATTCTGCCATAAGGGGCCACGTAGAATTGCGAATACATTCAACTTTGTAATCTATTGTTAAATCATCTGCCGTGGATTACCTTTCCATCTCTGAGTCATGACGTAGTGAGTATCGTGTGAGTATGGCGGTAACGTTCCCTGTGTTTTCTGTAAGTTAGGATTTTAGTGTTTCTCGTCCGATTGAAAGTCTGCCATCGACGTGACTCCCGTCCCTTTGAAAGGACTCAGGATGAGCTTCTTCAGTAAAGTTTTCGGAGGGAAGAAAGAGCCGGTCGCTCCTTCGACGGCCGAGGCTATTCAGAAGCTGCGAGAGACAGAGGAGATGCTCATCAAAAAGCAAGACTTCCTCGAGAGCAAAATCGAGCTAGAGATTCAAGTGGCTAGGAAAAACGGGACGAAGAACAAGCGAGGTATGATCGAGATTATTCTTGCTTTGTTTTTACTTGTTAAGCGAGTCGTTCTTTTTTTTACACAATTGGTAGATAACTCGTCTTATCATCTGTCAATGTGACGGCTCTGGATTCGCAGAATGTCGTATTAATTCAAAGAATTTATTGCATTCTTCATCGATGATGTCCGAATGCTCGTATACTTCCAAAAGCCTACAGCCCTTAAGGCTACAAGGTTATGCAAACCACACTTTTCGTTGTCTCCTATTTCAGTCGATCTAACAAGTTTTCGTCACTTCGTACACAGTTCAGCCAGTGATCTTGTCCTTGTTATCTGTAAACTTCCTCGATGGATATTCCTATGTATATTTTTGAATTTTCTAGCTGCGATACAGGCATTGAAAAGAAAAAAGCGTTATGAGAAACAGTTACAACAAATCGATGGAACTTTATCTACTATTGAAATGCAAAGGGAGGCTCTCGAGAGTGCTAATACAAATACGGCGGTACTAACTACAATGAAAAGTGCTGCAGATGCTCTTAAATCGGCACATCAACATATGTACGAACCTATTTCTTTTTTGAAACTGTGTTGCTTTATTTTTAAAATGCTATTATAGGTCTTCAAATCGATGTTTATAGTTTAATCAGATTTATTTTAACTTTAGGGACGTCGATCAAGTTCACGATATGATGGATGACATTGCCGAACAACAGGATGTTGCAAAGGAAATTTCGGATGCAATTTCCAACCCTGTCGCATTTGGACAGGACGTAGATGAAGATGAACTAGAGAGAGAATTGGAGGAGCTCGAACAAGAAGAGCTCGATAAGGAATTGCTTGGCGTTGCTACTAGCGACGAACTTCCAGCTGTTCCTGCAAGCTCTGAACCTGCTGTTCCTGCCAAAGCTCGTTCTAGTAATTTCATTTGTTTTCACGAATTTTATTGCAGATTTTTACTTTAGAGTACAATCAGGATCGACAGGGTTTTAGTTTCATCTGTGTGTGTGCGCTTTACTTGTAGAAATATTAATTTTTTTATCTTGTTTTGCAGAACCAAAATCAAAGGAAGAAGACGACGATCTAAAAGAACTTGCAGCATGGGCCTCATAATATGTTTAAATCAAATGCTGCTATAATTAGGAAGTTATTCAGCATAATATAGCGCATAAAAGATTTTCCCAAATATCAATCTGAATTTCTCTGTATTATAATCCTCAAGAAAGCGAGCGTACAATTTAGAATTTTTGTGTGTGATTAAACGCAATATTTCTGTTTCGGCGATCTTTGCTGGATTAATTAATATATCAGTGGATTACTTTAGGGAACTTAAGAACTACATGTTAATAAATGTCAAACATTATTCTAACATGTGAAAGGTATAATATATTCCATTTTCGTAAACGTATTCGGTATTATTATCAATTTGTTAATCGCTTCTAATAGGCGAATGTTGATTTATTGTCATGCCTAAGTAATGGGACACACAATCTCTGGACATTGACGATGTTAAAGAATGAAAGCAGACAAAAGTTAAATTACACCCGCGTGCCTAGCAAATGATTGTATCTAACTATATGACTGCAACCTAAGCTTGAATTTTATATTAATGTATATAAATACATAGCTTTCGACAGTGTTAAGAAATAAATCATTTATAATTAACAGTATACTTTTTAACTTTATCTTTGGCTTGGTACATGAGGGGCCATGTTAAACTCTAATCAATGCCAATGACTTGAAACCTTTAAATCAATACGTATTCATATTTGTACTATTTATTCAATTTGCACATTATCAGGATTAATATTTCTATTTTAAGTGAGTAATAAAATTCTTACAATAAATATATTTTGATTGATATTTCCGTATGTTAACTTTGCTAAATTTTTCATCTGATTTGTTGTTTTATTCACAACGTCGATTGAAGCGCTTTGTTCCTGGAAAACAAAAATCAGAATCAGATGTTTGTAAATAACATTGCAAGTCAGATATTAAAATCGCTACTCACTCAAAAGTGATAATGTTAAATTGTTAGTACTGAATGTATATGCACATTTTTTACCATTTTGATCACATAGATAGATGAGTTCAAAAGTATTATAATTCTTCTAATTACAGGCGTTCTCGACGTAGCCGATTATCCAGGTTTGCAAGTTGCCGCAAGAAACCTTGATTGGGATTGATGCAACGGTTCGTACGGACCAACTGAATTGCGTCGACTGCTAGCATTTCTTTTTTGGTCATCAAATATGCAATGACACATGTTGCACTGCGAGATATTCCCAACATACAGTGGACGAACACTTTGCCTGCGAGTAAATAATGGTAATTCGATCAAAACTTATTTGATTTAGACTCTTTTATATCGCATTTATTTAGAATTCTAATTATTCTTACCTCCAGAAGAAAGAGCATTATGAATAAATGATACTGCTGCAGGAAAATATTGACTAATGTCAATGGTAGGCAAATCTATAATCGGTAACCCAAGGTATTCTATCGATGTGTCACTATAATAGTGTCTATTAGTATTCACAAGACCAAATCGATTTCCTTCAGCTGTATTAAGTACGTGAGTCACGCCCAACCTTTTCAGAAACTTTTTATTTTTAGCGGTACTCCTGATAATTTGACAATATTTTAGAATTAATAAAATATTGTCTATGTAAGTAAAGAGCAATGTCAGCTGTATATAAACAGAAATAAGCATAATTCCAGCAGTAAATTACAAAATTAAATCAGTTTATGAATACAGATACTAACGCATCTCCAAGAATGATATTTGGATAAACCTCATCGCAATCGATGTCATGTTGCAGGCGATAATAGTTTCTATCGTCGACGTTCTCATCGAAACCAGGTATTGGTCTCAATTCTGTTTCAGTTTTGCTCAAGACATCGTGTAATTGAGAGCCTGTCGTTTCACCCCCCGGAAGATGTTTCTGAAAATCCTGAAAAATGTTGAAATTTAATTGCAATCGTATTTGTTTCCATACATGCTCCGATGTAAGAAATTAATTTTTCAGTATGTGGAACTTACTGACTCAGGTTCTGCGTTTAGATTAGATGAAAAAAAAAAAAAAAAGAAAAATATATCAATCGCCAAGCGCGCGTGAATATGACCTTTGGAGTATAAAATCAAAAATCGAAATGTTTTTTAAAACGCAGTTTCAATTATGAAGATGTTTCATAAATAATTGTGCCGTTTTATGACATAATTGAGTCATCATGTCAAATTAAATCAGGGACCTGTTGCAGTGATATCGATTAAACAAGTTTATTTTGTTATCTCACCCGGTCTCGATCTCTCCATGTGTTGTTCATCTTGATAACTGTCGTGAACTGCGCCCAACTGTCACTTCCAGTACAAACTGTTGGTTATTTAATATGAGACGCATGCGAATACGCTATATAAGTCTCTAAGTGGAGTTTAAGCGGACTCTATAGCAGTCTCCTCGATTATCCTTCTTATAATAGAATACAGGGAGACAATGAATTAAGAAGAATGCAGATGGTTACCGTGAACTGGAAACTGAGACTTGTTTCTTAATACAACTCGCCTCCACAAGATGGCGCCACTATTACATTTGAAGTGCACGTAGAATATCCGCATTTCTCCATCTAACGTTAAAATTCAGCAACTTGCACATCTTTTCGAAATCATTTACCATTGATTCATGGAGACGTGCGTACGCTCGTGCTGCGCCGATCTATAGACCTGTAAAATAAATGTTTTCTACATACATAATTAATTCGTTAACAACGTGAATTCATTTCGGAAGAGGTTTAAATTTTTCAATCTTTCAAACCGACATTTGAGATTTCAGTTAATTCGAGGCGTGTTTGAATTTTGTTGGGTGAAACGTCGGTGAAACGGAAAATCTGTCCTTACGTAATTATCCTATACTCGACCATTATTATATGTAAATAGTCGTAATAGAAAATCGAATAAATCGTTAACGGGGCTTGTAAGAATTGTTGCACATTCGGGGTTACTTTATTTCCGTACATCGACTCGGCAAGTGAATAACAAAATCCTGAAAGTTTATGGGGAATAGTCGGACCCATTGCGAAAGCGTCTGAAACAGGCAAGGCACGCCTCGAAAACAAACTGTCCGTATTTCATGTCGGCTGCAACGATAAACGGACGAAATGTTTATGCGAGGCAATGCGCATACCTGATTTACCTAATGGACTTTCCGGACTACATTCTGCTTTCGTCTAGACGGTCTAATCGATTCTTCGTCAGTCGGGGAAGGACGAGGGCATTTCTGAAATTTATGAAAAAAAAAAATAACATTTCCCCGGGCTAAACTTTCGTGAAAGGGTTGAAAGAAACCCTCCGTAAAACGGAGTCGCCTGGTTAAAATCGAGAAAAATCCTCCCTGCCTTGCTGAAAAATTCATTTGCGGGGTCCTTATTAAAAATTCGTCAGTCGCGCGCTGCGTCGAAGTGAAAAGTTTCATAATTAGCAATATCGCGGCCGTTCCCGAAAAATTTCGTCTACGACCTCCGGAACTGATGTTTGTTCCCGTCGTTTGAAAGTTAAATATCCCTGACAACTCTTTTTTGGTTTATCAAATCATACCCTGTAGTGATTATTTCATTAGCGATCATCTTCCTCTACGGGTGACGCTAAGCGAAAACAAAATGGCGGCGGACAAGAAGGAGAGGCTTCGAGCGTAGAAGAATAAAAGCTCGGGGCTTGTAAAACTACCAGGGTCTAGGATGTTACGGAATAGGTGTGGGACAGGTGTGCGATAGGTTCAGGATAGATTCAGGATAGGTGCGGGGGTGTTATTGGGTCGTAGCCACTTAATATGCAAATGCAGCAGAGGCGTCGGGACGCCCAGCCCAGACGGCAGCCAGCCGGGCCAATACTTTAATTTACATTTAAAATTGTTCAAGGGTTGACAGCATCTGCCCTGTTCCTCCCCTCTTTTCTCGTTCCACTGCGACATCCTCCCTTATAAAACTATGAAACAAATTCAAACTAGTTTCGGTCCCAGGAAATTTAAGGGAGTTACGGACATTGTCCCTGGCGGGGTAAAAAGTCTGCTCGACGCTTTCGTCTCTACAGGATGCAAAGGTGGATAAAAAAGGAGACGGCAATTTCGGAGATAAAATCGAACAGCATGAATCGCTCGTGACTTCGATACCACATTTTTCTTAATAATTTCTACCTTGATAGTAGATTTTTTTAAATTATTTTAGATGGCGCCCCGTTGACGACTTCGTCCTTAATTTCCATGGCGACGTGGTCTTCCTTCCGACTCGTCCTGGATTTTATTCGAGGATAGGTCAGATCCTTGGCAAGTNAATGTATATTTATAATATCCGAAATTCCAGGCAAGAGCGGGAAGCTCCGAAGACCCAGTTCCTCCTATTATTCTTCAATCGGCTTTAATCCAGAATTCACGTCATACGAGGAAATTGCAGAGCCGAAGCCCGGCTTGCCCCGAAAAGGACCAGAAACCGTCTACGTACATCCTGGATGTTTTTGGAATGCGAGCTTGCAGCCACGGGACAAGGGAGGTCTGATCCTGATACATACATATAACGAGGACACGGCCAGGTTAATAGAGTTACAGGCTAGCTTTTTGAAGTGCTTCGAACACCGAGAGCTTTGTCGCCGAGGACGAAAGGAAATTCGATTTGGTTTCTCGAGCTGCGAGGTGAGACGGTTTGCAGACTTCCGGAGAGAGGGACCGGAAGAGCGTCGAAATCGGGTTTCGAGGAGGCCATCGACGCGCTTTTGTTCCGCCACTGATGTCGAACTCTTCTTCCAGGTTCTGGGAGGATCTTTTAACGATCGTCTCGCGGACTCGAAGAAAAAACTCGAAGATCGTCTTCTGGGGGAATTTGGACGGAACTCGCATTGCAGACCTGGAGGAAGATCACGAAAATCGTCCTTCAGGTGCGGCAGAATTTAGAGACCGTCTCATAGACTTGAAGGAAAAATACGGAGGTCATTTTGCAAAAAGATTTCATGGAAAATCGCCCCCAAGTTTGAAGGAAAACCACGAAGACCTAAAAAGATCTCCTGGACGTGGGGTGAGGAAACCGAGCAGCCATTTTTCCTTGGACTTTCGGCGGATCCAGAGACACTAGGAAGTCCTAAACGCTTCCTCGTTGTTTCTCTTGTTGCGAACTCCTCTTCCGGTGCAACCGCAACCTATGGCAGCAACCTACAACCGTGCGGCAGAATTTAGAGACCGTCTCATAGACTTGAATGGAAAATACGAAGGTCATTTTGCAAAAAGATTTCATGGAAAATCGCCCCGCAGGTTTGATGGAAAACCACGAAGACCTAAAAAGATCTCCTGGACGTGGGGTGAGGAAACCGAGCAGCCATCTTCCCTTGGACTTTCGGCAGATCCAGAGACACCAGGAAGTCCTAAACGCTTCCCCGGTGTTTCTCTTGTTGCGAACTCCTCTTCCGGTGCATCCGCAACCTACGGCAGCAACCTACAACCTCCAACCCTCGGTGTTAAAGCGCCGGCGCGCGTCTCTTTTATCGTGCGGCATGCCGTACAGCTGCAGCTGCACCCGGTGCGAGCACGTGCCACGGACACGTTGGTGAAACGAACTCGTAAATATGTTTTTACAGGTCCCCATGACCGGCCTCGGTGACCAGCCCTCAAGTAAACCGGCATAACGCGCGCGAACTGCATAATTAAATTTATCCCTAGCCGGGCGGTGCACATATTGCGCTCCTAGGATGATCCTCGTTTACAGCGACGCCGTGAACAGCCATCGTTCGAATTTCCCGTTCCGCATCGCGAAATTCGGCCCCGATTACCCTGGCAAAAATTCAAACGCACGCGTACCTCGGAAAGTTTGAATATTTATGGGCGGGAATTAATCGAGGACTGCTTAGGGTAGGTTAAAAAGAGACGGCGAGGTCGAGCCTTCTCCGAGGAACCCGAGATTCGAGATATTGTCGAGGTCGTTTAATGGAGTTATCGGGATAGATCTGGTATCAGCGATTCGAGCTTATTTAGTAGACTTACGCTGAGAAAAAATGTTGCTTGACTTAAAATAGAAAAATATCCCCCGCAAGACGGCATCTTGCGATCTAATACGCCGAAAGAAATGTCAGATCGAGTAAAGGAAATTGGTTTGAATCAACGACAATCAAGATACTCGTTTGGTTTAGCTCGACATTAATTTTTCATCTCAAGAAAATGATGCTTGACTCAAAATAGAAAAATATGCCCCGCGACGACGGCATCTTGCGATCTAATACTCCCAAAGAAATGTCAGATCGAGTAAAGAAAATTTCTTTGAATCAACGACAATCAAGATACTCGTTTGGTGTAGCTCGACATCAATTTTTCATCTCAAGAAAATAATTATTTCCTGCAGTCATATATGTGCCCACAATTATGAAAGTGGTCTAAGTCAAAATTAAAAAAAAAAAATGAGTTTATCAGTTATTTCACGCCATATTATTTCAAACGAAATTAATTAAATGTAATTTCGAAACAAAAAATATATGACTTAGGCCACTTTCATAATTATGGGCACATATGATTCAGGCGACAGTATATGTTTGTTTCGGTCAACTAATATTTTTTTTCTTCTCAGTGCGAGGTTTCTAAATGCTTTAATAACCTCGTGACAGATCCGTGAGTCGCGATTCGTCGTAGCAGTCGTACGAACCACAGGTTGTTCGGCGCAATTCGCGACACGGGTCTCGCGGTCGGATAATTTCATCGGGGTCCAATTTCTTCTACAACCGGGTGAATGCCGGCCACGGTCCATGCAAACGAACCGCTTCATCGCGCATACGGTCCGGAAGGTCCGGAAGGTCCGCGGGGCGCATGACGACGCTCGGCCCGGGGGTGGGATCATCCCCAAAAATCGCATTTTCGCCGGGGCCGACGCCGCGGCGTGGAATCAGTTGACCCCTACCCTCGGCCTGGGAAGTTTCATCGAGATCCGAATTTTCCGGTTACCAAGGCTCCCCTTGTCAGCGTCCGCGTACTGCGAGGTGGGGGCATAAGCTCGGGGCGGGCTCGAGGGAGTTCAGTTTCTCGCCGACAGCGCAGCGGGGTGGGTGTCGAATCAAGGGTACGTCCTCAGCTCTCACCATTTCATGTCTCTAGTCCCCCGATATCCTGCAGGACGTTCGCGACCGGCAGTGTTCCCTCGTTCACGTCCTGGGCTCGATACCCACCGCGGTGAAGTGCCGGGTTCAAGGATCACGAGTGAACTACGGGGAACTATTCGGCGAACCCCTGTGACCCTGGTGACACCTAGTGAATCGCTAATCCATGATGGACTCCTGGACCGCGCGAATAATCCTACCGAGATATTGTCACCTGTATTAAACTCATGGGGTTGAAAATTCAATATCTCGTTCACTGGCATCTCCATGGGGTGGTTGTCGCCTAAAATTAAATGGAATTAAATTTTTTTATAGATTTGTTTTGATTATTTACTTCCTTGGCGAAGAACCGAGCAGGCTCACCTATCCGGATTTA